AAAAAGTGAAACGTGGAGAAGTGCGTGTCCTTCATGTTCCGTCCCTATATCAGATTGCAGACATCTTCACCAAAGGCCTTCCGCACGTACTATTTGATGATTTTCGGGATAGTCTCAGCGTCCGGCCATCTACCGCTTTGACTGCGGGGGTGTAATAGAATATATGTAATTATTCTTGTGATATTGTAAATCAGTTATATTTGGTGTATATCGTCTATATTAGGTTAGCCAAATATTAGGTTATGTAAGCCAAAGATTATCTAGATTATAGTCATAACCGTAGCATAGTACTGCTGTATATAATGCCCTTTGATCAATCAATACAATAAAGCGATTATCTTCTAATAAATAGTAATAGATAATAAGTGCATTTATTGTGTATCTGTAGAGAAATCTCCATGTGGGACACACCATAAAAAGCAATCCTATCAGAATAGCATCTGCTAGTTCCGAAAATAAAGTAAAAAAATATTACTTCAAGTTAAAATAGACCACTTAGTTCATGTATGCTTACATTTTGCCACCATTAGGCAAAGTTAACACTTTTCTAATGTAACACTTCTCTATTTTATACTCTTTTAAAGCAATTCAAAAATTATAGTTTCAAAAGATCATTAAATTCAATCGTATTACCAAACTGCCAAAATGTAAAGTAAGTTTAGAAATAATTTATTCGAATATTCTGAATACATGAGTGATTTAGAAGTGTGATGCTAAGCTTTATAGGAAAAAAAATCCTTATGCAATCATTCTGGTTCGCAGCAACCTCTACCACAGTGCATCTTCCGGAGCATACATATAAACTGGGCTTAAAGATAATACAATCGAGTTTTATTGGATCGAGCTATTTTTGGATCTATTGGTTTCAGAAGTGTCTGGTCTGTCCATCCGGGCCAGCCCAGAAAACCGGGCCTGGGCCGGGCATAACCGGAGCCCGGACCCGGGCCCGGCCTCACCGGGCCGGGCTCCGGGTAGGGCCGGTTTTTTTTTTAATTTTTAAAAATCTCTTTAAAATTTAAAGTATACATAAAAATTACAGAAAATTATAGAAAATAAAAATATAAACAATCATACTATTAATAATTTGAAATGACATAAATTACAAATATAAAAATTTATAAAAATAAAAGATGATAAAAATAACTTCTTTATTAATAATCAGTAAATCTTTTACAAGTATAAATTTATTTCGGAATTCGTCGTATCACAATAGGTTAGTACATCCCAACTACATTGGCACCTACTCACCTATATCACTATAATTTGTAACTGTTTCCAAAATAATTCATTACAAATATAAAGTTAAAAAATAAAAATTATAATTTGATGAATATTATTTAATCTTTATATCTATCTGCTAGTTCCAACTCTTCAAATTTATCTTCAATTCCAGCCATCCGATCGATTCCTTGTGTTCGCTTCTCGTATCTCCACCAATCTTGTAAGCACATCACCGTTTGTACAGTATACGGATCTAAGCATGTCCTATGGTCGTCAATCAAACGCCATGCTGTGCTGAAGGCGGATTTCGAACCTACTGTCGGAACCTTCACTGTTAGTAAGTCACCAACCATGATGGAAAATATAGGATATGAAACTGATCCATATACTCTGATCTAACATTGTAAAATATCTAAATCATTTTCTTGACATTTAACTAAAAAAGCAGATAAATATTCATCTATTTCAGAAACCTCTAACGATGATCCAAGTCCAGACCCACCAGCTAGCTCAGCTACCATTACATGCCTATCAAAAGTTACACTTTTACCTCGGCTTGAGCTCCAAGGCACCGAAGCTGCAGACTATTGTGCAGCTACACCATGTCTAGCTACGTACTCATCATATAAGGTTTGAAAATAATTTCTAATAGCTAAATGATGAGAAGTAACAGTAATGCTGGATCCATCATCTAACTCTATAACCTGTCCACCATACAATGATTGTAACAAACTTCGAAGGTCAATATCCTTCAAACATGGATCAATAAGAACCCCTAAACCAAAAATATGAGGAATATGCCTAAAATACTTATTAAATTTGCTCTCCATTTAAAAAATTATACTTCCAAAAAAAAATATGAGGAATATGCCTAAAATACTTATTAAATTTGCTCTCCATTTAAAAAATTATACTTCCAAAAGTATCATTCATACGATATTAAATTTGCTCTCCATTTAAAAAATTATACTTCCAAAAGTATCATTCATACGATATTTGTTAATTTTTTTTGAATATTTAAAAGTTTTAAAGCAGCTAAAGTAATAGTTGAATAATAACAACCAGATAATAACATAATAAAATCATAAAAAACTTGTAACATCTCATTTAAATTACATATAATTGTCCATTCATCGTCAGTTATTCCATAAGAGCTACCAGAGGTAGAACTAGAAGCAAAATAATTTATAAAATCATTTATAATTTCTTTATATTCTATAGCTACTCTTAACGTTGCATAGGTGGAATTCCACCTATGGTCAATATCTTTTGGAATTAATCTAGTCTTAATATTTTTTCTTTTACACATTTGTTTCTATCTTTTAAGTCTTTGTTCAGAAGCAGTATGTATATAAGCAACTATTCTAACATTTTTTATCATGGGTTTAATTTTAGTAAATACACTTTAAACAATTAAATTTAAAATATATCATATACATCTAATATAAAAAAAGTTCATCATGACAGGGCAATAACATGGCAATGATAGAGTTATTTTGAGAAAATCTACAACTACATTCTTATTACTTGCATTATCTAGTGAAAGAAAAAATATTCTTTGATGAATTTCTAGTTTCATAAGTTCTTCAACTATTAAATTGGCTACATTAATATCAGTATGTGACTCTTCAATTGCAATAAAAGAAACAACTTTTTTAAATATTTACTAATTTTTATCAATCCAATGTGCTGTGATACATAAATAACATGTTTGTAAAATTTTTAAATAAAAAATTGTTTTTCCTTGTTCCATTTGATAATGTTTTAAAATATCACGTTGACAGGTTTGACGAGTTTTTTTTTAAAATCGGAATAAAAATCATCTCTAAACAAATATTCAAATTCAATCTTCTACTAATTTAAAAGGAAAGTTTGTAAGAATGATAAACCTGATGACGCATTTCCTGGCTCGGGCAACGTCATAATTCCAAGTACCGAGACTATCAGAAGATGATGATTAGGAAATCATAGATTGTCGGATATCACCTTGAGGAGTTTAGCCTTTGTTGTGTTTTTCTATATGGCGTTTGAGGTGGTTGGTGCCGCTCTTATGATGAGCTTGGAATGTCCGACCGCACAATGCACGTTTAACCTTCTGGGTGAGAATCCTACTGTGTTCATCCTTGGTAACGTCTATCTTCTAAAAAAAATTCCACACATCGGATCTCGGCCTTTTAGGAGCTCTTTGTGTAGATTTGTCGCCACCGAATTCGAGATTACCACTGGTAGGACGAGTAGCTATTGTTGTAGGAGGACTCATTTCAATATCGGTAAGAGATAGATTTTTCTCTTCATAATCAGATCCAGAAGCCATTTGATGAAAGGATTAGAAAGTATAAGAGAGCATACGATTGTATAATAGTGTATTAGAGAGAAGTAGATGAGTTTTGGTGTAAGGAGAAGAAGTGAAACTCCCCTCTATATATAAAGGCAGCCTCCTACGCAAATGACAAAAAAACCCTCACCAAATAGCCGTTTTTAACCGTTTTAAGGGGCAAAACGGTCAAAACACAAAAATGACCGTTTTGGCCGGGGCAGGCTGGGTCGGTCCGGCCCGGATTTTTGCCCTTAACAGTCATCAAGGGTGACCGTTGCAGACGGATCGAGCTCTGGGTCCGGGCCTCCCGGCCCGATTTCGTTGCCCGGTCGGAACTGTTCCGGGCCGGGCTGGGTCCGGGTCAGACCCCAACGAGAGGACCCGGGTCTGGCCCGGGTTTCCGGGCCAACCCCGGGCCGGGTTCCGGGCGGGGCCCGGGCCGACGGGCTTTTTGGACATGGCTATTCTGGGTTTACGAATAAGCATGGATAAAAGTTTAGGTTATATAAAAAATTATTTACTTGTTTTGGGTAGCATAAGATCATCTACATTTGTCATCTACAATCCAACTCCACCGTCTACATTTGTTATTTGCAATCCTACTCCCAAGGACTTCACACAATGGATTTAAAGATGGTTCAGCTCCATCATCTACATTTGTTATCTACAATCCAACTCCCAAGGGCTTTACACAATGGATTTAAAGATTGTTCAGTAGAATATTTTGAGTCTAAAAAGGATGAAAAGTTAAAAATAAATGGGTGTAAATGTTTGGATTTATATAAGAAAAAAAAACACTTTCTGGAAATGGTTGTGTTTAAAAATAAATGAGTAAAACTTTAGACTTCTGGGTAAAAATTTCTAAAAGTGAGTTTAAAAGTGGATGAGTTTGAAAATAAATGGAAGTAAAATTCTTGATTTATGGATAAAAATTCTTTTTTGAAGTAGATGGATTCAAAAATAATGGGAATAAAATTTAGGTTTATATCTAAGCATTACCTTGAGAGTGATTTTGGAAGTGGGTGGATTTAAAAGTAAATGGGTGTACAAAATTGGGTTTGTAGGAAAGAAACAAAGTGGGTGGGTTCAAAAGTAAAGAAAGTAAAACTTTAGGTTTGTACGTAAAATTGTTTTTTTTTAAAAAATGTTTGTACGAACTGTGCACGTTTAATTTTGGAAGTTCCGTGGATATAAAAAAAAGTAAGTGTAAAAATTGGGTTTATAGGAAAGAAACAAAAGTGTGAGGCTATGACGGTATCGGAGTAAAACTTAGGGCTTGTGAGTAAAAAAAACATTGTGTGGACAGTGCATATGAACAGTGGAAACTCCTTCAGTGTTAACCATGAGATGCATACCAAAAATTTGAGGTTTGATGCTTGAATTGGTTACCTCATTCGTACACCCAAACAACAGATGCACTAGCTCACGCCTCAGCACAAAACTCACAAGCAATTTCTTCAGATACCAAAATTACAGCATTGTTTATGAATTCACATATATACGTAGGTTCACATGTCAGAAATTGAATCAAGAGTCCGAAAACAACACAAACTACTTCCAGTGCAGAGTTTATATGACACTAGCACCGCTCTTTCACATATCAACAGCCACGCGGTTGTACAAATGCGACGGCAGCCTAGGAACTGCAACTGCCTGCAACGGTGTATGCATGAATGTAACCATCCCCGGATTCTCTGTCATGTCGATCTCCTCTGGCGTCACTCCTTCAGACAACTCCCACTTGAAATGGTGCAACAAATGGCCCAACATCGACTCCACCAAGTTGATACCCAATTGCGCACCGGGGCAGACCCTTCGCCCTGCTCCGAAGGGCAACACGCGAAAATCGTTCCCCTTGATGTCGATATTCTCCTCCTCAAACCGCTCTGGTCGGAACTCTAACGGGTTCTTCCACACATGCGGGTCACGGGCAATGGCCCACACATTGACGTGCACAACCGATCCCTTGGGGATGTCGTACCCTCCGATCTTGATGTTGGCGGTGGCCTTGTGGGGAAGCATGAGGGGTGTGGGTGGGTGGAGGCGGAGGGCCTCCTTAACAACGCATTGGAGGTAGGGAAGGTTGGCAAAGTCGGCTTCTGTCATGATGCGGTCGACGCCAACGACGCGGTCGAGTTCTTCTTGCACCTTTTGTTGGACTCTTGGGTTCTTGACCAACTCGGCCATGGCCCATTCCACGGTGATGACTGTTGTGTCCATTCCAGCAGTTATCATATCCTGCACATTGGAAAATAGAGTGGTTAACTTACTATTATATTATTATTATGATTCTTGCTGAAACGAAGGATGTGTTGGCAACCCCTCAAAAATTTTGCCATTGGTCCTGGTTGAGTTTTATTCTAACTAGCTTAAGATCAATCAAGGGTCGGGCCGGTCTAGTCTTAAACTATTTTAAGGTTATTTCTTTGCCTAAGGAAACTTGGGCAAATATTGGCACAGTTTCTTTGCCAAACATAAATTTCCCCAAATTGGAGCAAGGATCAAACCTGGTCTGATTTTTAGTAGTTACCAAACACAATGTAGGAATCAGGAAAAAAAGAAGTTATTTCTAAAAAAAGGCTAAGAGAGTTAAGGATCTATTTCATACAGGAAAACTAAAGAATTGAAGCCTACCGTCAAAGGACCTTTCCTTTACACTAGAATGTCAAAGTTGTGTTGTCGATTGAGGTTATAATTTTATACTCTAACATACCTAAGCACCCTTTTTATGAACCAAAATATTGACTTGTGCAACATTATCATTATTCTTAAAAACATAGGTTTAGTGTAGTCGCAAGATCCTTTGATATGCTACCATAGCAACCCAGATTCATGTGAATGGGACGTTGACATGGGGCCCACCCATGTCAAGCTGCTGCCAAAGCCACGTGAAGTGATAAGAGGTCATGGGTAGCGGAATTCGCGTGAAGAACAAAGCGTGGGGGCCACAAAACGTATGAAGAGCAAAGCAAAGGCTAAAAACCAGCGGGTTTTTGAGTGCCGCGTGAAGAGATCAGCGAGCAGTTCAGCGGACTAAGAGGCCCACTCTCTAATAGTAGATCCCCCCTCCTTGCCCCGTAGATGTAGGCAATTTGTCGAACCACGTAAAACTTGTGTGATTTGCTGTTTGTGGCCATTGTAATAGTTCATTAGGTTCCCTCGACAAGTTAGTCCTAGAACTGATGAGAGGAAGAGCTGATATCCCACTTTGTTGAGATATTCGCTTCAGATTCTTGTTTTCTTGGTGAGACAGAAATTCTTATTGATCTTTCTCTCCTATTGTGCACCAGAAACTCTGCCGAAATTTTAGCTGCGCACAACAAGTGGTATCAGAGCTCGAGCTATGCTTGGGCTATTTGAAGGAGTAGATCGATTTGAAAGCTCGTCTAGGGTTTTGTTTGGTGATAAAGGTAGGATCTTTTGGTTATCTTTTCAGTCTTGGATCTATTCTTCGTTCGTTGGTGTGTTGAGAAAGATGTTGGGGAAAGAAGGTGCTTCGGGTGTCGATGGTGGTGCTTCTGACGCGAAGACCATTCAGAGTTTGAATATCCACTTTATGAAGATAGATGTGAAAAAGTTTAATGACATAAACTACTTTGGATTATGAAGATGCGAGGTTTTGGATGCGCTAAACGCGCAGAATTTGAAGGATACCTTGGAGTTAGATGGCAAGCCAGATGATATTAAAGAGAAGGTTTGGAAGAAGATGAATCAAACGACGTATGGTGTGATTAGATCTTGTTTGACTCAAGATCTAAAATATGATGTGATGAATAAGACTTCTGCGAAGAAGATTTAGGAGATTCTCGAAAGCAAGTATCTGACAAAGAGTGTTGAGAACTGCTTGTATTTAAAGAGGAGACTTTATCGTTTCTAATTAAAGAAGGAAACCTCAATTAGTGATCACATGAACACCTACACAAAGCTTCTTACGGATTTGACGAATGTGGATGTCAAGATTGAAGATGAGGACAAGGCGTTGCTATTGTTGAGTTCCTTGCCCGACGAGGAATATGAGACATTCGTTCTTACTCTGATTAATAGGAAGGCATCTCTTTCATATAGTGAGGTGACTGCTGCACTTGTGAATTATCAGCTTCGAAAGAAAGATAATGATGCTTTAATTGAGCCGATAGCAGAGGCGTTCGCCACAAGAGGGAAGGGTCCAAACCGGAAGAATTAAAAATCACAGTCTAGAATAGAACATCCTACAATTAGAAAAGATGAGTGTGTTTGGTGCAAGTAGACTGGTCATTGGAAGAAAAACTGCCCAAAGCTCGACGAATGAATGAAGAATAAGCAGAAGGGAAAAGGAAAGCAACCATTATCAGAGGCAAACATCGTTATATCGGATGATAATATTTCTGACTCTTCTATTTATTCGCTTTCTATCAGTCCTACATATAGCTATTCGGAGGAATCTGAATGGATGTTGGATAGTGATACGACCTATCATGTGTACCTAAAAGGGAATAGTTCTCCAGTTTTGAGAAACTAGATAGTGATGTGGTGTACATGGCTGATAATTGTGCATGCCAGATCTTTGGGATAAGAAGAATTCGCATCAAGATGTTTGACGGGACTGTTAGGGAATTATATGATGTGAGATATGTTTCTTCCTTGAGGAAGAACTTGATCTCGATTGGAGCTTTGGTTGGAGAGGGTCTGAATGTTCGAATTGAAGACATGGTTCTCAAGATTTTGAATGACTCTCAGATTGTGATGAAGGACGTCAGGAGGAATAACCTGTACTACTTGACTGGAGGTATAGTGACAGGTGGAGAAGTGACGACTTTTATTGATTCGACTAGACTGTGACATTTGGAGTTTGGTCATTTCAGTATTGATTCCTCGTATAAATTGAAAGAGGGTGTGAAGACCTGCAGTTTGAAGTCTAGTGAATATGTTGATGTGAGCAAGAAGACCGAGATAAAGTTTGACACCTCTATTCACCGTGCTAAGGATCGTTCTGAAGGTGTTCACGTGGTTGTTTGGGGGCCTTCCAAGGGGGAATCATTAGGAGGTAATAGATGTTTGGTTTCCTTTGTTGGTGGTTATTCTAGGCGTGTTTGGGTTGCAACCAAATCCTTATTGGAGAAAGTCCTAGTAGTATCCAACAGATTGAAGAAGTGTGTGATAAACAGAAAGGTGAAGGTACTCCATTCTGTTTTTGGTAGGAGGTACAAGATGGACCTGTTTCTGTATTGGAGCCGAGCTCACGGCATTTCGAGATACTTTGTTGGAAAGGAAATATTGGGGCAACTAGATATGGTGATAAATTTTGAGAACCGTGCCTTGTTGGAGGAGAATCGGTGTTGATTGTCAAGCAATGGTCTGCAGAAGGGTTTCTGGACTGAGGTTTCGACATATTTAGGTCATTCTATTAAAGAGTTATCAACTGCTATGATAGGAGGTAAAACTCAATAGGGTGTTTGGTCTGGTAGTGTCACTTCGGTTGAGGCTTCGATGAGGGAGTTATTTGACTCTCGACAGGTGGAGAATTTTAGACAGACCTTAGATATATCGCAGCGGGTGGAGAGTGATGCTGCTCCACATTAGGTAGAGATTACTCCACATACTCCAGATCATACTGCATCGTTTGGGATTCCAACTGAGGTGACACAGTTTGGAGATCATTTGTTTTTGGATGCAGATGATGAGTTGGATTTTGATTCGAGTGCAACTGATAGATGTAATTTGGATATGACTATTAATTCACCTCAGGTGGAGGTGTTTGAGGCCATTGGAGGTACAATCAGCCGCAGAGCTGATGATATTAGAGAAGGATTACTAATTCTTCTATTGGATTGAGGTCGTTCGCGGCCATTTGGGTGAACTACGTTCGGTTTGATTCCTTGAGCAAGAGGATACATAGGTAGTCTTTACGATGCAGCCGAGTTGGATTAGTTGATAGGGGTAAGATTGTTTGGACTCTCGTTTGGGTTCCCGACTTATTGTGGATTGAGTCCGTTGTCGTGAATTATTTCACGATGTACTGGACACAACAAGTGGGATATTTGGATGCGTTGGTGTCAGCTCAGTTTTAGAAAAACTTCACCGAGGTGAAGAATTATGAATGAGACGTTGACATGGGGCCCACCCATGTCAAGCTGTTGCCAAAGCCACGTGAAGTGATAAGAGGTCATGGGCAGCGGAATCCGCGTGAAGAACAAAGCGTGGGGGCCACAAAACGTGTGAAGAGCAAAGCAAAGGCTAAAAACTAGCGGGTTTTTGAGTGCCACGTGAAGAGATCAGCGAGGAGTTCAGCGGACTAAGAGGCCCACCCGCTTTGCTTCTTATAAATACACATCGGTTCTAGGGTTTCGCTGTGAAAGGAGAGAATAGCAGAGAGAAAAAGCGTCAGCAAGGAAAAGTACAAGTACAGAGGGAAATTGTGACTGTCTCTTAATTAGCTTCGTGCAAAGGGAAATCAGAGGAGAGAAGCGGCTGTCCTTTTGAACAGCAGATTGTTTTTCGGCTGAAGCAAGAGGAGAGAAATTGTGAGAGAGTTTGTTTGAGGCTGAAGCAAGAGGAGAGAAATTGTGAGAGAGTTTGTTTGAGGGGTTTATTTGTGAGATCTTGTGTGGTTGTAAACCCTATTTGTATTCTCTCTCTCTCGAGTTTGTTTGAGGGGTTTATTTGTGAGATCTTGTGTGGTTGTAAACCCTATTTGTATTCTCTCTCTCTCTCTAATAGTAGATCCCCCCTCCTTGCCCCGTGGATGTAGAAAATTTGCCTAACCACGTAAAACTTGTGTGATTTGCTGTTTGTGGCCATTGTAATAGTTCATTAGGTTCCCTCGACAAGTCAGTCCTAGAACTGATGAGAGGAAGAGCTGATATCCCATTTTGTTGAGATATTCGCTTCAAATTCTTGTTTTCTTTGTGAGACAAAAATTCTTATTGATCTTTCTCTCCTATTGTGCATCAGAAACTCTGCCGAAATTTCAGCTGCGCACAACAATTCAAATCTCATGGTCAACAAATTTCTAAAGTGGATTTCAGAAAAAAGATATTGCTCCATAAGCCCAGGCTTCAATCTATGAAAGGGGCATTTGAGTATACAATTCTCTCTCAACCCTCACAACCTCAGAGTTTTGGTCCACGCAGTGGCAGGGTCACAAGTGATAAATTTGTAATCGTTAGCTTTCAGCAATCCATAATTGTAAAATAGTCCCTCAGAAACATTTTTATGTATTCGTTTTAAGAACTTGTATGATATCATGAAGAAGAGCTAGAATAATGTTTCTTCGTCAATCCCTAATAATTTATCAAGTTGTTGACTCTCTGATTAAATGGTTTTCAAAATAACTATATAGTCTTTTCTTGAAGTAGCAGAAAGTGAAAATTTATAAAATTTCACCCCCATTTGGGAACCATTAGGTGGATTAACAGATCGTAAAATAAGAGATATATATCTCCAAGGAAGTCAAATCAGTTGCAAAATGGCACAAAAAATGTTACAAGTAATAAGAAGAAAATTTTGGGTGCAAGAGGATTCTTGGCATAATGGGAATGCAGTATTGCTAGATACAGTTACCATGTACGTCAGGAATATGGCATATATGAAGTCATTATGTCTGAATACGTATGTGTATAAAAACCTACTTATTTTCAGGTCATTAAATCTTTTAATCAAAGGAGAATAACTGCAAACAGAAGAGCTTCCTTATTTACGAGCAGGAGGAAATATGCTTACCCAAAGTAGTCCAATAATGGAATCTTCACTAAGATCATACTTTTCCTGAAGAGTTAACAATGCATCAACAAAGTGTTGTCTCGCGCCACTCTCCTTGCGAGCACGCGTGTGCTCATCCATAATGGCTCTAGTGAGACGATCCCTGCGAGCACCATGCTTGGCGAAGGCCTCTTCATCCAAAGGGAACATCCATCTCAGCCATGACACATACTCTCCGAGTGAGAGTGATGCACCAAATTTCAAGCCATTGGCCACAATGCCCTTGAATTCCAAGCCTTGTTCATCCATCACACCTTCTTCATTCACAAAGCGCTTTCCAAATGCAAGCCTTGTAATGTTGTTAAAGGCCACACTTGACAGGTGATTTCTCACCACCAAACTCTTCCCAATTTTATCTGTCAATTTGAAAAATATACATATAAATGAAGGAAATTATTAGATAAAGTGATCCTCCAATGAAGGATTTAGGCATCAGGAAAGATTCGAAAGAAAATAACTGAAGTAAAAAAAACAAGACAAGCCTAATTTTCTCCTACTGTTCAGTGACAATAAAGAGAATAAAACCATGATAAGAATTCTTCTATAACTTTTCTTTGTCCAATTGAATCTTTATCCAAACTAAAATTGTGAAAATAAGAAACAAAATATTGTGATATGTTTCACTTCTTTTCTCTTTCTTCACATTTTATGCAACCGAAAACAGCCCAAAAAAAGCTGAGAAAAACATAGGGGGCTTGACTGAGCATAAATGGCCATGTGAGCTAAGCAAGTTGATCTTGATGATTGTTCCAAGTAAATACACACAGTTAGTCGTATGCAAAAAATTGCAGCAGTTCCATAATATTAATGTTTCTAGAGTAAAGTTTCTATGATTCACAGTTATATTGGTGTCTATGTTGCACAAAACGCAGTGAATCACTTAGAAAAATAGGATTTTGAAAAAAGGATAATATTAAGACCTACTTTTGTTCAATGGAAAATCGTTTTAAAAATTATATCATTTCAAGGGTGTTTTGTGTCTCTGAAGTTTCCTTATCTATCTTTATATTTCACTTTTACGATTTCTGTTTCATGTTTACCATCTTATTTCATCGGTCTTTTTGTTTTCATAGGATTCTTTGTTAGCTTGTCTATTGAGAAATTTCTCTTAATAACTTTTCTGGTGGATAGAGTTATTTACCAAAGTTCTGCTAGGGTTCTTCTGTGCTAAATCGAGATTTAGCTAGTGCTGTCACTCCCAATTTGCAATAAAAAACATAGCTCATAGCACAAATTGGAAAGATATTTTACCAATACATTGCTGGTATCACTGTGAAATTTTTGAATTTCTCCCAAAATGCATTTACTTTTCTCTATTGTAGCACGGAAGTATTTTGCATCTACTAGGCCAAGGTTACGTTGAATTACTACAGCAGGAGGGAAATCCATGACTTAAAAGTTGGCCAGGGTAAAAATTGACTCCTAAAAGTTGACCAGGTTAAAAATTAACTCCTAAAAGTTAGATGAAGCTTGAACAACAAAGAAATTGACGGTCACAAAACTCTGATTTCATGTGCAGTGTCAACTTTAGCTACTACAAAATTGTCACGGAACAATCAAAGAGATTTATGGAATTAGCTCAAACAGAAGAACTGATTGCTAATGTTGAAAAGAATATTTATCTTCCACTGAGCCATAAGTGAACAAAATTGAATCACCAATCATCACTAACTCTCACCCATACAAGAACTACCTGAACTTATCTCTGGTTCAGAAGAGTGTTAAAAAGACAAGCATTTCTTATCAACCAAATTAGGTGTCTGAACTTACACAGTAGCATCAAGTAATAGTCCTCATATGTTTCAGATAACTATGTTGGTCTGTGCAATGGAGGAAGTTAGTACTATTTTTTGTCCCCTTGTTCAGTCATCACCATTTGCCTATGCCACAGAAAAGGAAAAAAAAAGAAATAAAGGAAAAAAGAATCTCTTCAGCTTCAAGATTATACTATGTTAAGTTGCCATTAAGTAAGGTTCTCTTTAAACTTTCTTTTCAGTAAGTGTTAGGTGAGCTTGAAAATAACAAGGTTGTACAAATTATTTGTCCGGGTCAAAGCATCAAGTGGACATTAAAATGAAATGCCGAAGAATTAAAATGCTCAAATTCAGCCTAATTGTATTAAATAGATTGTTAGTTTGGTACATTATACCATTACTAAATTTAGTTCTCATAACTACCACTTAAAAAGTACCCGAATGCAACATCGACATGATTTTGAAATATATAGATAACTAAAAAAGAGCAACCTTTTGATAATTTGCAAAATTATAATAATATCTATATATGCATTCATGTTGGTTGAAAAGTAGTCGATCAACAATTACCTTTCATCAATATTCTGTGATTATATGATTTACATGGAAGCATCCAATATGGAAAAAGTTTACTCAATATGCTATGATCTTGCCTAATTTCTTTTTTATGTCAAGTTAAAGTTTCATTTTTAAATACGGAAATCCATAACTTAAAAAGAGGAAAACCTAACAAATGTAGTAATAATACCTTAAGTTGGATGAATGCACCTATTTAAGTCCTAAAAGTTAGATGATGTTCTAACAACACAAAAGAATTGACAGTGACATAACTCCAATATTCATATGCAAAATGAATTTTAGCTCATTAGTAGTACAATGCTGAAAACCTCATGGAACGACCAAAGAAGTCTAAAATAAAACATATACATGTAACATCATGTGTCATAGTTTGCAAATGCATGCCCGTACACACAAAAACACACCAAAATAAGCCAGTCACACTTAAGCTATTTTGACACAAAAATACAGTTCTAAAAATCAGAGTTCTTTAAACTCCATAACTTTCCGCATTTTTGGTTTTCTATTTGTTAGATGGAATGTTGGAAGTCAGGCACACTTTTCACTTTTTATCTACAAATTCCCGTGAGAGGAAAGGAATTCTGACACAGGATTTTGGTTTTGTGGAAGCAAAATTCAACAACACAATGAACTTTCCTCGGTTTCATTGATAGCAGAAGAGTACGCTAGCTAGCAAGCGTTTTGTTTTCAGGCTCCGCTAGTTATCCCGTGCGCCCCACCCCTATGGACACTCTTGCCTACGCTTGCTGCTCGCTTAGTGTAGAAATTTTACACTAGAATTAGGCACTGACAAAACAAACATACCCTAAGATAACCTGATACTTTTGGCAGTTTGTCAGACAACAAATAATCGGGTACATGAAATGTGTTCATGTTACTTTGGAGTTTGTTGCAAACCTGACTATTAGTTGTGTAAAGTTTGAAATAAATTTTTCATTTTTCTTCGACTTAACTATTAGTGAGCAAAATTGAATTTGCAAGCTTCATTCTGAGCCTCTCACCAAAAATTCAAACCTGAACTTATCTCTGATTTGTGAAAATGTTAAAAAAGTCGCATTCTGAGGCACTTAGCTTGAGAAGGCCATCATCTATGGTCCCCTCACAATTATTGTGTGGCTTGAAAAGATACAATCAAAATTCCACTCTTCTTTTAGGGGCTGTTTGGTTGTATGTTTTTACCATGTAAAAGGATGGAAAGTGTTTTAAATGGGTCTCAATGTCAGCTTTCATCATTTTCATTTGTTTGTTTGTAGTTGTGAAAATAGTATAAAGTAATTTCATATGCTGATGTGGCTTGTAAAGTGATTTCATAAAAAAAAAAACATGATTTTAGGAGAAAGCTGACATTGAAGTCAGGAAAAAATAATTAAAAATATTTCCAACCAATATGATCATTTGAGTAGGAACCACTTTTTACACTTTTCAAATAAACAATTAAAGTTATATTTACCAATCAAACAAGCAATTTATGATTCTAATGGAATCAAAAACAAAGAAAGAAAAGTATAAAAGTGAAATCGATGAGGTGGACAACAACTTTCCAAGTTGTGTCATAAATACACAACTTTACCAACAACAACCAAACAACCCCTAAGCTGCCGAGGCCCGAGTAGGATAAGGTCAAAGTTGAGAAGTTTCTAGCGGGGCTCACGGAATACACTACTTTATGGGGGCGGTTTGGTTGAGTGGTTTTATAAAAAACTTGGGAAAATTGTGTCGGGGCCCCAAAGGCAGAAACTTTATGTGCTGTAGCCTCTTTAACTTTCCCCCGTGTAGTTCTACCCCTTAAAATGTGATATTTTATGCTGCAGCTTTTTTTAGCAATTATTATATACCAACTAAGCTAAAATCTCCAAAATATCCTTATTCCCTCTCCTCAATCTCTCAAACCCAGCGCTCTCTATCTTCTCTCTCTCTCTCTCTCTAAAACCAAGGGCTTTCTCAAGCTCGTCGCTCTGGCTCTCGCCTTCCTCGTCGTCGCCGCCTCTGCCCAGACCCCTAAGCCTCCTCTCGAGTTCGTCGCTGCCTCCCCTCCTCTCCTCCTCCCGACCTCCGCCCAGACCCCTAAGCCTCCCGACCTCGAGTTCTGTTGGGATTCCTTGTAAGGGGCTGTTTGGTTGTATGTTTTTACCATGTAAAAGGATAGAAAGTATAAAAAAGTAGGTCCCAATGTCAGCTTTCATCACTTTAGATTTTTTGTTTGTAGTTATGAAAATAGTGTAAAGTGATTTCATATGCTGATGTGACTTGTAAAGTGATTTCATGAAAAAAAAGATATGATTTTAGGAGAAAGCTGACATTGAAGTCAGGAAAAAATAATAAAAAATAATTCCAACCAATATGATCATTTGAGTATGGACAACTTTTTACACTTTCCAAACAAACAATTAAAGTATATTTGCAAACCAAACAAGCAATTATGATTCCAATGGAATAAAAAACAAACAAAGAAAATTATAAAAGTGAAATTGATGAGGTGGACAAAAACTTTCCAAGTTGTGTCATAAATACACAAATTTACCAACAACAACCAAACAGCCCCTTATTCCCCCTGTCCAAATTCCAATCATCATCTTTGGTCTATTCACAAAGTGGTGTTAGCTTTTTGAAAGGTCAACCTACTCAACTACACAAATATGATTCCTTCAGCTTCAATCTTACTCAATGTTGAAGTTGGTGTTAGGTATTAGGTAAGGTTTCCTTTCAATTTTGTTTTAGGTAAACGTTAGGTGAGGCTCGAAAACAGCAAGGTTGTCCAAATCATTAATGTTGAATTAAAGGATCTAAGAATTAAAATGCTCAAATTTAGCTTTAAACTCCCTCGGGTTGGGTGGTTCCATCCACAGTCATTGCCAAAAAAAAATTAATTTGTGCTCAAGTAGACCAGTACTAGTTTTTCCCCGCAATTTGTAGATTAAAATATTATCACCTTGTTTAATCAAATAATGTTATATGCTTACAACGGAAAGTCTTGCTACGTAAATTGCCAAAAAGAGCCCTGCTACGGGGACCTAAAATATGGGACCAAGGGGTGGGACTAGTGATGTGCCCCTCCCCTATTGGATAATGAGTTGGCACTGAGTTGACATGACCAACTCATTATCCAATAGGGGAGGGACACATCACCTGTCCCATCCATTGGTCCCATATTTTGGGTCCTTGGAGCATTAATCCCCTTATAAAGGACCCTCTAAGATCTCTACATGCGTGACGCTACAAATTTTAAATCAGTACAATTATTATATAAGTATATAATGCGAGTCCAATCAATATCAGTGCAAAATATGAATTATCATATCAGTACGGTCATTCTTTATCAAAATGCTATCAGCAACTTTAGGAGAACAATCTATCAATCAAATCACTAATAGATCTATGGGATATATCTGGGGGGTAAAACATTTATTCCAAAAAAAATTACCTGGTCGGGTGCAATCCTTAAATATAGACTGAACCATAGCAGTGACCTCATCCTCCCTGATCGGCCTCAAAGCCTCAAGCCTCTTAGGCGAAAATAGCTCCAAATTACACACTTTCCTCACTTTCACATAATGAGGCCCATAATCCGCCCAAATGAGATCCTGTCCATTCCTACTGAACCGGGCCGAGGCCCTGTTCCTGGGTCGGTCAGCTAAGGCCTGGTCCTTCTCCTTGAGCACCTCTCTGGCCAAATCAGAGCTGGACACGACGACGTTCAGAGTCGTGCCGAACCAAACCGACATAATTGGGCCGTAACTTTCGGCCCATTCAGCGAAGCATCGGAACCTGACGGGCTTTATCTGGTAGAGGTTTCCAACAACGGGCCAAGGCCTCGGGCCGGGTGGTAATCTTACACTCAAGCGTTTGAAGATGTAGAGAGAGGTTAGGAGAGCTAAGGTGGCTACGCAAATCGAGAGAGGAGAGGGATCCATTGAGGAGAGAGAAAAGTGAGGAGGGAGACGGGGAGGGGGTGGGTTATATATAAGGAGTCAACAAAGGGTGGTGGAGGAGTAGGTGAGGGTAAAATTGGAAGTGTGGATGGGGTTTCTAAAATTGTTTTCTTGATTAATCAAGTGGTCACGAATGCTGAGTATACGTGGGACTTTATGTTAGGTGGAATCAAGAGAAAAAGTGTTTTGTGGACATAGGGCTGGGACTCCGAGTTGAGACCCATGACATGACATGGATTGTTTCTTTCCAAACACATCAATTTTAGGGTGAATCCGTCGTGTTTTGACCCTTCGTTGAGCCGTGCAAAAAGTTCTATTCATTCGAAAGTGGATGAAGGGTCAAAACACGATGGGTTCACCCCAAAATTTGTATGTTTGGGTTTAAGAACGTGTAGATCAAGTTTAACGGATCGGATCACTAAAAAAATTTAGAAAATGATGTGATTTTAGACCACGTCCTTAGGTGGGAATCTAAGGTGTCACCTTAGGAAAACATTTCCATATATGGGTCATGTGAATCTGCGGTGACTCCGTAGGCTGTCATCTGAGGATGCGCGATCTGGGCCGTTTATTCAAAACCCCGTCAAGACGAGATCTGAGCCCTTCGTGAAAATCCCATCCCCCCAAAAATCCCACCCCTCTCTCATCTCTCCCCGCCCAGATCGCGCCATCACCTCCCGCCTCCTCCTTCCCAGCGCCGGAAATCGCGCCGGAGCTCGCCGCCCCCGATAGCGTCGCCGCCGATCAAGATCGCGCATTCGGTCGCCATCACCGACCTCCTCCCCTCACCACACCGCCGAAAGCGCCGGCGCCCAAGCTCGGCCTGTGTCTCGACGTCCCGATCAGCGTCGCGCGTCCCCTGTCCTTGCCCTAGCCATCACCTCCCTCCTCTCTCCAGCGCCCGAGATCACCGCAGGCTGAGCGTCGGCCGGGTCATCGCCGTCTACTCGTCCTCGCCATCGAGCTTCACCCCTCGTCATCAGCCACGCCTCCGACGGCATTCGAGCTCAGCCCTCAGGTTCATCGGCCGCCTCCGGAGATCGATCAAGCCTCGACGTCATCCTCTCCATCACCTCCCCCCTCCTCTCCACCCACGAAATCGCGGCAGCTTCGCTTCGTCCCGCTCAGTGTTGCCACCCCGGTCATCGCACTATGCGCCGCTGTCGAGCTCGCCTCCACCGAGTAAGGCATCAGGTCTACAATTTAACGTGTTAGTTCTAACTGAAGATGCATGTTAGCTAGCTGAAATTAATCGTGTTAGTTTTAAACTGAAATGCATGTTAATGCTACCGGAATGCATGTTAGCTCTAATAGAGATGATGTTAGTTCTTTACGACGGCTATGTTAGTTCTAGTTTGGCGTTCCTGTAGATTAGTGGATCTGTCATGATGGTTCTATCTTCCCTCATGCCTATTCCTTGGATCTTGATCTATTTCTTCCATTTTAATTTCAGCTCATGACATTACTTGTTTGCAGCACTCACTTTT